GGGGGGGGGGGGGGGGGGGGGGGGGGGGGGGGAGAGGGGTGTTTTCTGTCCAAGTACAACTATGTATTTCAAATTCAGCCTTGAGTTACGCGTGGTTCCTACGTACGGGCACTTAAAATTTTGGATGAATATCTGATTGAGCAACTAGGTTACTTTTAAAGGACGATCGTTAAATGGAAATTGTACATCTACTCTATGCAAAATTTACGGTGATTTTTGCTGCTGACCGCAAAAGGTAAGTGTGAAGCAACAGCCATTCATGAATTTAATGACCAGAGTACTTCAAGTTCGCATGATCGTACGGGCCCGCCCCGTGCATTCCAGCCTGGGTGCATAAATGGGAACGAGAGTATCATTCAACGGTAACATATTTGCTTGATACTGGTTTTCCAGGCGAAATTCAAATTTCTTAGGTCAGCAACAAATTCCAATTTCTTAAGCCAGTAGGCAAGACATAGTTACATCGTATAATACATTTTTTCCCCTAATTTTCGCACAGAATACTTGTTCTGTTAATCAAATAGTCTTCCACATCTCGTTTATCCCGAGCATGGCATGTCTTGCGTTTTTGTGGCTCTCGTTTTGGGATGCTCTCCCTGACTTCGCACGTACGTCGAGGTCACTGCCGTAAAACAACGTTCAAGTGTTGCCCTTCCTCTAGGCGGATTGTCTGGTCGGCATGTCCCGCAGTTGAGTACCTTCTTCAGCAGCTGCAGCACAATTCCGTTACGATTTCAGACTACAAATAGCTCTGGAGTCTTGCGGCAACTCTGGAATCATCGTCTTCACCCCAGCGAGCGTTAGAACATAAATCTGTGCTTGATATAAGAGGGTTCCTCTAGAAGTATAGCCTTCGGCTTATACGGAGGGCCTCCATATGCAATGTCTTTCTAAAATTACAACTTCCTAGCTCTTCCAGTTTCCGAGTTGATAACCGGAATAAAAACTTACTTGGAACACAAATACAAAAGAACGGAGTCTCGAAAACCACGTGTTTCATTCCCTCGTTTTAAGGTCTTCCCCCACACGCGCCTAAACCCCGCGTACGGGACATCCAAGGAAGTATATTGGCGGGAAACGATTTCGTGAACCAGGCAACGTAGAAAACTGAAAATTTGCAGGAATATTCTCTATGCGCGTGCGAGATAAAGATTTTAAACTCAGCTCTCTACCTCCCCAACCACAACCTCAAGCAGCTTCTAAACCCAAAAATCGTTAGCACCCAGTATCTGAACCTCAATCGTACACGCAAATAAAATTGCATTTTTAGCAACTCGAACCTAAACCGCCAATTGTACATACAAATTACATGAAAAAGTCAGATTACAGGTAATATGTCAACAATGCTCGTGTAACGGCAACTGATACAAGTAATCACCCAGTTTTGCTCGCGCAGTGTGCGAGTAACGCACAATTCCCAACGGTGCCCGTCCACTTATACAGGTAAAGACCGTTCCTACATGCAGTACTTGAACATTTTCCGCAGATTACTTGTATTAATGAGCCGTTGTATCAACAAGCTCAAGTAACATCCAGGAAATTTTCGTGTAACATAGCCGATCGCTCATTTGACCATCGAGCAGCAGGGGGGTGCGGCTAGCGCGCCCAGTCCGGCAATAACAATCGCTCATCGCGTGGTGAGACGGTTGTTTGACCGCATCGTCTGCTACCAATGGTCGGTAGGGAAGTGCGACTGCTGGGGGGAAAGGGGGGGGGGGAGGCTGGTCGCGATTATTTGTAGCAGAACGTCA